TACAACACTGGCTTAGATAATGCCCCTTAGGTCGGTCTCTGCATAATCTTTATCAAAACTTAATTCTCTTCAAATTTGTTTTGACATTATTATAATTACAAAAAGTTTCTAGATCGATCTAATTATTATTTACAATATGTTATGCTCAAATTAGATTGAAATGAGCTAATATCTGTACTGTATTACACTGCGTATACGCAATGCGACTTCAGCCTTGTATTCAATATGGAAATTATGAATATTATGCATGTCGGCAGAGTTGCGTGAAATTACAGTGGTACCTCCTTAGAACGCACACGGGGTGGCCTTTTTTGCTGCTGCTGCCTCTTCCCCCAGCTCCAGCTCTTGTAGCTCTGTTACTTTAACTTCACATTTAACTTTATGCTTTACACTCTTTGCCCTATTGCCGCCTTATCGCTGGGGCTCAAATCGGCTCTTCCCCCTCCCTACCCAGAAGCGCATATAATTTCTGATAATTTTGTGTACTTAACTTGTAAACACAACAACAGCAGCAGCAGAAAAAAAATAATAAAATAAAAGATGCAAAAATTGCTGCAGTAGCTGTTGCTACTGCTGCCAAGACACGCCCCCAACTGCGCACTATAATTGCGCCCCACCTGATCAGCAGCGGGAGAGCAACAGCGGTCGAGTCCAAAGATAGCGACAAAGTTATTAATTTTTTGTTGCCTGCATATCTCTCTCTATCTCTCTGTCTCTCTTTCTTTGTCTCTCTCCCTATCTCTCTCTCTCTCTCTCTCTCTTGCTTTTATTTCTTTATTGTAATACCCTATACCCTAACCAGGTATATATATCATTTACACTGCTTGTTGTCAAGAACAAAGGCTTTACAATTTCCATTCTTATACCATTTCATTTATTCTTCATTTATTCTTCTTAAAATAAAATACAATTGGACTCTATATTAAAACAGTCAATATTTGTTTGGAGAGATATAAAAGTATATATAAAAGTCAATCTCAATGTGACAATTTTTTTTTTTTTAATATTGAATATATGTTTACATTACAAATTTATTGTGTATATTTAATATTTATTACTTATATCGTTATTAAATATTAAATAAGTTTTCTGTAATACAATTTTTTTTATATTTCATAATTACATTATATGTATATATAAATACATATATCATATTGTCATTTAATCTTATTACTATATCAATTATCTAACATTATAAATTGTTGTAAGAGTATTTCGTCTTCGTCGTCTTGCTATCCTTTCCACTTAATTTCTTTTTTTTTTATTTTATAATTTTATTATTGCTGTGCAGCCATCGACAGGCAGCGCGCATAATTTGCAGCGCTTGTGGTGGGCTTAAAAACAATTACTTCTCGCCAAAATGGCCCCCTCTTCACCGTGCAGCCCCCTCGATAGTCCTTCTGTGGTACTCTGGTAGGCCTGCCTCCCCTCACCCTCTCTCTCTCTCTCTCTCTCTCTCTCTCTCTCTATCTGTCTTACTCACCCGAGTCATGGTGTGTTGAACTGGCTGGCGCGCTGCTCGCTCGACTGACGCAAAATTGTCACCTTGCCATGCACACCTGCAATTAAGTGGCAGTGCGGCCAGGTGAAGTGCCAGTGCCCCTCCTGTCGCCTGCCCTATCATAGCCTACCCTGCTTCGTCCTCTTCTAGAATTTCTGTTTTTAATGAAACGATCAAAATGTGTCTGGCCAAACAACTTAAGCGCTCTTTTAATTGCGATCCTTGCAGGCCATCAAGCCAGGCAAGGCAGCTGTTGCCAGCCTTCGAGCACTTAACAAACATTTCACATACGCCGCATGGTGCGCAATTCTCACAACAGAACCAGTGTTGCAAAATTTCCACATTACATAATATTAGAAATTAATACTAACTGTATTCCCCGTAACAAGAAACAAGGTTGCATAGATATGAAAAATCCAAGAACCATATATCCTTTATCTCTTTTACTCTCACGTCATTATTATGGTTCCAAGAGCTATAGTTGGCGACTCTAAGGCAAAATAACTGTTTATATGATATATCAGAAAATACTTTGACGTAATATTGAATCATAAATTAATATCTATACATCTAGTTCATAGAAATGCATTGTATTATTTGCCTGTCCGACCAGCTATGCCCCTATCCACTAAATACAGTAATACTTAGGTCTGATAGAGTAGGAATACGTTAATGGAAACGTGAAATGGAAATTTTTAAAGAATCTTAAGTGTAATTAATCTTAATTAATTAAGTGTATTGTAATTATTGAAAAATAAAACAGTTACAAGAAAGAAATAGAAAATCAGAACGCGAAACGAAAAGATTTATAAATATGATTAAAGCAAAGTGAGAAATGAACAGAGGAAGAAAGAGAGAGAGAGCAAATGAAAGTAGAGGGAAATCACAACACGATGGGGGAGAATTCGCGAGTTCAGCAGTTTGAGCTCCTTTTCTCAGCTGGATACTGTTAATGATTTTCTGATGACAGCAAGGATTCAGTGAAAGAAACAGAGAGTTCTACCAGGAAATGAGAAATTTATTTAATTTATGCACCTAAATTAGACGAGTGAAATGAGTTGCAAATAATAATGCGATATCTGAAGTCGAAGAGATGAAAGTGAAAATAAAATAAGACAAAGCAAGAATAATACATATATCCGGAAATCAATTTATGTAAGAATGTATTCCCGAGGATTACACTAGATTTGTATTTGATTGCGAATTTATATCATGATTACTAACTGAAACACATTTGGTACCCATTACATATTTATGTCTTGTAATACTAAATCTATAAATGAGATACAAAGTTAAGAAAACTAACGAGACTAAAAATATTCTGTGAATAAAATCTAAATAAATAAATAAAGAGTATCATTATTTATAAATAACGGTTTAAATAATTTATAAGAAATAGAAATACTTTCCTTGGGAATTAAACAAATTTCCATAGTATCATCAGTGCATACAACTTTCCAAGTGGGCAGAGTGAGACCTAGCACCTTCGATAGCCATGCGTCGAAGCACTCAATGCATTGCCCGACATTTAATTGTTGGCCATGCTAGGCTGATCCGCTGCAATCGAGGGCCAACAATTAACACGAGTAGTTAAAGTTCGTTCGGGCCCACCTCTGCCGGATTCCCTTAAACCCCAACAGCGATAATGGCAGCAATAGCAGCAGCAACAACAACACGAAGAAGGGAAGCAACAACAACAACAATTGCAACAAGAACCACAAAGTTGCAACTTTGACTCTAACTTTGGCTGCATGGCCAGCGGCATCGGCATCGGCTGGTTGGTTCCACTTGTTGGTTGTTATGGATATATGAGTCCTGCTTTTGCTTTATTGATTATCAGCGAGCTGTGCTCGCTGTTGTTGTTGTTGTTGTTGTTGTTGTTGCTGCATTTGGTTGTGCTTGTTATTGATTGCAGCAAGTGGTGCAGGACCCCCTCTGTTGCCATTAGAAATTGTAATTAGCCAAGTTAGCTGTAGCCACAGTTGTTGTTCTTGTTATTGTTGCTGTTGTTGTTGTCTACATGCAAAGGGGCCACGGAGCTTGTCTTTAAAGTTCAAGCGCTCATATTTTGTACAACTTCATTGAGTTACATAGCAAAGTTGCCAGTGCTTGTAAAACTTTTAGAAATTGCTCCAACGCCATGGCGTTGCCCATGGGCAAAATACGCATACTCAAGAAATGTATATAGTTTTGCAGCTTAAATATAGCTAAGATTAAGTCAAATTGAAATATAGCAACAATTGGAATGTAAATGAGAATTTACTTAACATCAACAGAATATTTGATTAGCTTAATCATTAATAGAAAATGCATTAATAATAAAGATAATAATAGATTATAACGACCCAGTGCCTAACTTTAAACTAACTTTCGAGGTCTGTCTTCACAATTATGATAAATGATTTGTGTTGCTTTCTGTTCGATAAATTGCTTCCCACATAGGAATAAACGTATATTTTACAAATGCCCTTCTCCCATTGCATTGTAAACCACAATGCCGCGCCTGACATATGTTTCCACGTTTTCGGGAGGGTCAGCGGACCAACGGCCGAACGGGCTAACGGGCTAACTGGCTAACGGACCAGCGGACCAGCTGACCATATGCCGACCGAGAACAGCCCATAGAGCACAACATAAATTTTCACAGCAAAGTTTCAGTTGAAGTTCGGTCGGCGAATTGACCAAAGGACTAACGCAGGGGGTGGGGTGGGGATTGGACCAAATGAATAGACAACAGTTGGCCAATGCTTATGGTGGTGGTTCCAGTCTCCCCTATCCTTGTGCCTGCTGCTGCTCATTAGTTGCGCCTGCGTCGCTGACAGTGACGCCAACGCCGACGTCGACGTCGAGTGCTCTGCTTTGTCTTTGAAGAGTTCATATGGGGTTAAAGTATATCAGGCGGGCTATCGCCGAGCTGTTCGCTTAATTACAGTTGCTGGGGCGCGAGACCGGGTGTGATATCACTCAGAGATAGTCCGACACAAAACACATCTTTATAATGCAGTTTATTACCCGAACGAGCCTACTCTTATCTACATATTCAACTATTCGGCTATAGATCAAAGGTCAACCGTTTGCGTAAACTCATGCAAAGTGACTCCGCTTTATTCCGTATAAAGGAATTTCGGAATACTTCCTTATACATAACCTATAGATATTCGTTATATTAATACATATATCAGTAAATTAAGGCTTGTAATAAGTGTATGTATATATGTATATGACTAGGCCAAAGGCCCAATGCTTGAGGTTTAAGTTAGTCTGTATTCCAATCTGAAATAAATGAATATATAGATCTGGATAAAGTTATCGAAATTATTGTGCATACTTCCATTTCATTTGAGGATCGAATGTTCAACAATTTTAAATATGGTTTTACTGTTTCTAGTAGAAACTTTCTACTCATTCTTCACTTGTTATTGGGTTATTAAAATTCTTAGATTAGATTTGATCTTACGAAATTGTATACGAAATTTACGTCTACATATTTATTGACCCAATTTCGTACTACTCACATTATTTAACGTCCTCTATAGGCTAACAATAATTAGTAATTAGTCGATAATTTATAATAGCTGTAATAGCTATTACTAGCGATTATTTATTTAATTGCTAAGCAAACAATTAACTTGATTCGACTTGATTATCGTCAATTGACACTTGTTTTTCTTCAAAATATCTTATTCGCTCGTGGCAATGGATTGTATATAGTTACAATAAATATAAGGTATAATGAATAAATATTACTCATTCGAATTGAAGAAATATTCAAGTTAATTAATATTTACTTTAAATGTAATATTCTAACAAAGATTTATTTTTCTTCAATTTTGTTTGAGAGTTACAATTATTTGAGTTTCCTTTACGAGCTTTTCTCTGAGTGTAGACAGTTGTGATTAACTGATTTCCACTGGTTAAACACTGTCTCGATTTTCCCAAGCTTTTGTTTTACTTACTGTTGCGATTATCTAGTCGGAGCTCTAGCTGCATCTCACTCTATATGTATTTCTCACTCTCCCTCTGTGTGTGTGTGTGTGTGTAATTAACACCATTGCGTAATGCAGCGTATCGAAGCCTAAATAGTGCTGCTCCACATGCCCAGCCTTCTGGGGGTAGGCGTGGCAGCCATTAAAATCGCCAAACAGCTGTCTGCCTCACATTCAGCCGTCGTTTATAGCCCCTCTCTCTTTCTCTCTCTCTCTCTCTCTCTCTCTCACTTATTCTACTTTTCTCCTTGTGGCCGTAGCGCACTTTAATTTTCATCCATTTGGCTAAACTTTGTTGCCATTAGGCACCCACACACACACACATACAGATACAAGTTCTCTTCAGGCCACTCTGGGCCATGTTAGAAGGTGCTAAAACGCTTTGGGCTGGCAATTTGAACAGCTCTTAATGTCAACTTATACGCCGCAACTCGAGCAGCTGATGAGCTGCATTGCATTGAGGCTTGGCTGGGGTGTCAGTGAACTCCGGTTGGGCCAATCCTCAATCCTTAATCCATAGGCCACCTGCCTGAAACGCGCCTAGCTTAAATATATGTAGTAAAACATGTTTTCGTTTTCTTTGTTTCTCTGCTGGCCGAAACAGAAGAATTTTTGAATTAAGTCAAAGCGTTCATAAAAATCCACCCCAAAGGATCAGGAGGCCAGGACTTGGCCAGGAATCGGGCAACTGTGCGGTGTGCGCTGAAGTGGAGCGCTTGAGCAGGGCGAGTTGTTCAGCTCAACTCAGTCCATTACGGGCAGGTGATACTTTTCATAGCTCCCTTTGCCAAGGAATCGCAATAAAAAACAGAGAACTGAAAACAGAAAATTCATTTACCGCATTCTCTGTCTTTTCTGAAATCACAAATAATTTTTATAATTATGCCATAAATAAATGAATAGTTTGAAGAACATAGCTAGCAAAATAAATGCGCCACGAGCTGTGACTGGGCACAGC